TATAGAGGACGCGCAAAGCACACTGGATATGCTAACAAGTGCAGTTGCTATATTCGGTATGTGCTTTACACCCTCAAAGTGCAAAGTGATGCTGCATGACTGGGTTTCGTCTACCCTTGCTCTTAAACTAAATGGTCAAGAATTAGTTACGGTGGATTGCTTTTCCTAGTTCGGTAGTTGCGTGACTCATGATGGTGGTGTAGTGGAGATAACCGCCCGCATTTCCAAGGTTAGAGCAGCAGATGCAGGACTGAAACACCTCAACGTAGACGTGACTTCTCACTGAAATTGAAAGGTCGTGTATATTGTGCTAGTGTCCTTTCAGTTCTGCTTTATGATTGCGAGACCTTGAATTGGTGATTAAAAGATATCGGTCGACTAGAAGTTTTCTATTATCGATGTTTACGGAGTTTAGCTGACGTGGGATGGAGCGAAAGGGTTAGTAGCGTAGGGGTAAGCCGCCGTGTTTGGGAGTCTATCACGAATAAACCTGCTAGCACACCGAATTCATACTAGTGTACCTCGCTGGTTAGGGCACGCGTTGCGTATGCCCCGCTGTCGTCTGCCGCACTGCTGTAGCTAATCCCGGTGGGAGGAAACCGTGTGGTCAACAAATAACCTAGAGACGAGGCATGAAGAATTGCACAGAGCCATTAGGTAGAGTAAGTCTCTCACCTTCCAGGTTGGGGTCCGTAAGACTCCACAACCGGTTGGATGGAGACATTGAAGGATATGGCAGCGAATCGATAGCATTGGCGTTCTTGCTGTCATTTCTTACAAGGCGAGAACGCTTGAAACGGTATGTATGCAGAGTTCGATTGTGCACTCTGTGTGTTGACCATGGTGGTTCACCTTCTTCTCCCTCCCTGAAAGTAGTTTCAATCCCTGGCCACTTTAAATTTTACCACTAATCTTATATGCATTGCGAGTTTGGTAGCAATCAGTCAATTTCGATTCACTGTATATCGCTGTACGACGACGAGGATGATGGTGTACAGGTGTTGATAAAACTACTGCAACATCACTATCAGTTTTGAAATACATTTCAGTCTCCAATTTCGTCCTTGTGCATTGATGGCTATGGGTGCAGTGTATTTATTTATGTTTTCATCTCCCAATTCTATGTTCTTAGTTCGCTTCTACCACAGTTTGAATTAGCGTGACCTTGAGTGTTGCGATAAAATTTATAGTTGTTCGAAAGTTACAGATGAGTTTCGAAAAGCAAAGCAACATGGGAGTTCATTCCTTTCAATAAATGATTCCTGGTCCGAATGCTAATTTAGTTGAGCACACGTATTCTGAATTGCTTATCTCTTTTTACTCAGTGCACAATAACTAAGCAAATTAATGAAAATATTCTAGCTTCAGTAAATCAGTGAATTGATAAATTATTTGGCTATAAACTACTCACGCATTATCCACAATACTGAAAACAGTTCAAAGAAACATAAAAGTTGACCTTGAGGCGTGCGGTTCGTTGATTAAGCGTCTGGTAGTCATCATACCCAAACCGGATGAAACATTTAAGACGTTTGGGCATATAAATAAAGCCTACCGGTAACTTAATCCAGAGGCGCATCAATCCGATGACTCAGTTGGTGTCTTGTAAAAGTACTCCCACGTGAACATGAGTCCGATTTGTTGCATATTCAACGAAATTTCTCCAAGACAAACCGATCATATCAAAGTAAGACGTCGTTTGTATTTGACCGCAGCAGAGAAGGGTTGCAAAAACAATCTGGAGTATAGTCCGGGCTGATTAACCGATTTCTGTCGAACGTTCTTTTGGAAAATGATAGCTCAGTTTGAAGTGCAGCTGAGGCCACGTGGTTTGAGGCCGTTACGGAATGCCCAACAAAGCACAAGTATTGATTTTACCAACAATTTCAATTCGCGTCGCTCGTCCATTTGGCGATGGGTTTATCTCACTGGTGGCCAACGAGCAATTCAGCATACGATGAAAGCTGACCTATCGAGCTAGTTTCCTAATGAATTTCGTTTTACTCGCCTGACAGAGTTAGAAAGGGATTAAATACTGAGTGCTTTGTCGTTGGTCCCCTGCACACCAATCTGAATATCACAAAATGTTTTGCAGCGATCAGTGACTGATACTTTTAAGTGCATTCGCGGAAGCCATGTTCTTCACAGATGAAGGTTGATATATTTTTTTGCTTGAGGCTGATAGTAGAAAACGGTTAGACCTAATAAAAGGTTATTTTCATATTTGTGCAGTCTCTGGAGGAGTCAAATTCATTCAATCATCGCGCAGCAGCCGGGATTTTAATTTAGACGAAAACTTTCAGACACAGGGATAAGCCAACCGCCTCGTCGGTGGTTAGGGTGCATGGTGTATTAGAGAAAACCGGCAAATTCTGTTTGGCGGGCAACTTGTTGGACTCCATACTCGAATTTTTGAATTCTATGACCCTAATTCCTACGTGAGGACGGATCGATCTCAAAGATTTATCCAAGCACAATTCAGTGGTAAGGCAGAAACAGAGTGAGAACTAGTTGTGATCCTAGCTGCGATACACGAAATTTAGACCCAGGTGCTGCAGGCCCACTCCTTGGAAAACTGTGCCATCCCAAACATGACATGAGACGAGGTGATCAGCTGTGGGATGAAGTATTATCTAGCTGAATAACACTAGAGGCAGTGGACATCCTTGTTTGTGGGCAACTCCCAAAACTCCTATCCTAGTTAGGTGCGGATTCCACCTCAGCATCAACTACGTCCATGAATAAAGAAAGTTTTACTAGCGATCCAGGAGGTTTCCACATCGAATAACCCAGAGACGAAAAACAAACCGGAGCAACAACCATAAATTTCCTAAGTTCTAAGCATCACATAAATTCTGCTCGAGCCAAACTTTAAAATGGATACAACCCCGTTACCAAACACAAGATGCACAAGTGTGTCTGTCGATATGCACGTACGTATTTAAATAGTTGTACCATCACGCAATGTGCATGGGTCTCCAAAACTGAAACCAAATGACAAAGAAGCACTGAATTTCAAGACGAGACGAAAAATGGGCAAGGACGATGAAGTAGATGGGCTGGGCGTGAAAACAGACAGACAAAGAGAAACGACTCGGTCACAACAAAAGCAATTGAAAGATTGTTCATTATGTTCATCTGAAGTAACACATTGTCTCGGACACGAAACAAAGCAAAAATCTGGGCGCAACTCTTGTCCGTAAAGGGGGAATAGGCTTTGGATACCCACTGACGATGTCAAGAAGCCAGTACAGAGAGAGAAGAATCAAACACACAATTCCTCATCAGATTCAGGGGTAGGAGAGGTGCGCACGGGGCGACGAGCATGTAAAACATGATCGTTCAAGTGACATTTGACGAAGGAAGCCCGACAAAAGACGATCGCATAAAACGCCAGAATGTCTGGAACAACGTACATTGTGCGTAAACACAAACAGATGGGGACATGTACACATACAAGTGCTGGTTGGCTTAGACCACTGAAGGTTGATGGACATTTGGTAAAAGGAAGACAAAAATGACGATGATGAGACAATGCGAGAGAGAGGAAGCACTCACAACGGGGATAAGATGGCACGGATTCGCGCTTAAGACGGAAGAGATGAAAGTCATCCAAAGCAGAATGCTGGTGCTGGAGATGGAGCATGAGGGAGATCAAATAAACACAAAATCACCCTCGTGCGCGTGTCCATGAGGATAAAGAATACGCCAATACTGAACAATAGTTGACAACCGATTGCTGTCCTTACGGAGCTGAGAAAACGAACACAGGAAAATGAAAACAAATCCCAGAGAAGCATGTTCCAGATAAGATTAGAGACCATAAAAAAGAAACAACAAAAATAGAGTGACAGTAGATGGTCACAA